ACCATATAAGTGTAGAAAGAACTATCTGCTACTGACTAAACCCACATCAATGTCCTTCTGATGTTCTACTATTGAATGCAGTGACTTAGCAAGTTTGCTGTTGTATAGGTATGTAGCAGTTTGAATTGTAGAGTAATTGTTTAGTTGACAAAACATGTCTCCCGGTGAGACAGCAGTAAGTCTTTGGATTTACAATGCTAAACTCAGGGGTGCTGTGTCCCCTCGGTGGACACAGCAGATAGCCCGATGTGGCTTTGCTATAAGAAAAATACACAATCTTAACAAAACATTTGCTGCATTTCTTACTGTTTTTAGGGTAACAGACATAGGCTGAGAGAAATATTTTCCACAATGGAGGAAGAAAATGTCAAACCCAATCTACAGTCGTATGTTGCTTTACTAGAGTGTATCGCACAACAGCCACATTTTGACAAAGCAGAAGCAGAAAAAATTGTTTCCTATATTGAAGATCAGGTAGGCTTTATTATTTTTTCTGAAAGTTAATAAAGAAGAACACTAAATTAACTGTGTATTGATTAAGTACTGTGTAACCTGGGCATTCAGCATTTCCTTTAGCTGAGGTTTGTAATTATGGTATAAAAAATGAACACTCAATTTGCCATATTTTTTTATTTGTTAAGAAAGCAGGTTAATGAGCTATTTTCCAAACCTCATAGTTTTATACTATTGTATTTCCTTATTAAATATCATGCAAATGAACATGCACATACATCACTCAATAAATTCATACTTATAACAAGCTGAGGTATGAACCTGAGAAAATGTGAGAGTGGATGCTGTGACATATAACACAAAACTTTTATAACATAACATTATTACCTCACCAAAAGTTTTGTATAAGCTTTAAGAACTCAATAAAATATACTTAAAACATGGTATACACTGTGCAATGGTGAAGGTGACTTTGTATGAAGAGGCAGTAGGGGGTGCTTTAGGTTACCTACTTTCAACACCCAGCTCTTAATGTCCTTCCACAATGTTTCACGTGATTAATTAATTGACAGTCATTGGGTGCAGAAAATTCTTAAGGGCCCGAAGTAGAAAGGTCACAGGTAAAAATAGATAGTGGGTATAACTCAAGAAACAGCTCTTCATATCAGCCTTATAGTGGCTGTTGGGGTAGAAGCTTCTGCTGAGTTTATGTGGTACTGCAAGAGTGGCACCCATTTTATTCATTGCATTCCTCCATAGAGAATACTAGTGCACTCTCTGAGATATACAAGATGTTGGTATGCCCCCCACACACTGTGCATATTGTTTTATAGAAAACATGGCAGTTATTTTTTTTTGGTATAAGGATGTGGCACCATCTATGAATGTCTGTAACATTAATGTATGTCAAAGATAATAAATGCTCAATAATAGCAATAATGGGGGTTATGAACACACCATTAACATGCTCCTTGTTAAAAACTATCATCCCACACAGTTTGTTTGAGATAGGCCCAGCAACCGAAGGAGCAGTTAGATAACAGACAGACAGACACACAAATTTTTGTGATTTATATACATAGATAAGCCTGACACAAATACATTTCTAACCATGTATTTCTACATCTGATGGAAAACAAATGGTACAGCCATATCTTATTGAATTTATTAAGTTAATTTCATCATGATATGATTATTATACAAAAAAAATTAATTTTGACTTTCCTTGAATCAATTTTTCATACGTGAAGTAAAATCAACAGGGTTATATTTAATTCACCTTTCTTGTGTTATAAAATTGTTTCATCTTTAGATACTCACTACTTTAAAAAATAGAGCGAGGGACAAAATAATGTTGAACTAAAAATGGTGAATTTAAATATTTTTTCCACAATATTGAAAACTTTACTTCAAACCAATTTACAGCTGTATTGATGAGTTCAAATTCTATGTCACATAACAGTCTAATATCTTGGAAATATCAATGCCATAGCTTCTATTTTCCAGGTTTAATGAGTCAAATAATTTAGTAATGGCATCAAACAACATTATAGGAATTCTGAGGAAAACTAAACATATTTCAATTGACAAACTTACCTTTCTTGCCCATCCCTGAAGCAATGCATTATAGATCTCTACATTTTTCAATCGAGGAGCTTTAAGAAATTTCTTGCTCTTAAACCGATAGTGTTGTAAAGCAGTGTGGGCTCTTCCAAGCTGGAATGATTTAACATAAAAATAAATTTAGAATTCATTTGAATACTCCATAAATAGTTATCTATTGTTTTAAAAGATTCAGAAAGAATAACTTTATCATAAACCTCAAAATTACAATAAACCTGAGACTAGCAAATAGAAAACTAATTTGCCAATCACCAACATTATCATGAGGACTTCTTAACATAAACCTTTCCTCAAGTGTTTTTGTTTGTTATTATTTATTTTCCAGACAAATTTAGTAGATGCTCCATCTAGAAAAGAAAGACATTAGAACTACAATGTTTTGTACATGTTGTTAGAAGTTTCCATGATTTATCAGAATTCAGTTATTTCAAAAATGGAATATATTCAAACAATGAATATAAAATACCAAACCTGAAAAAAGTTTTTTTTACTTATTTCAATGCTTTAAGAGTACGAGTCCTGAAAACAAATAATGCACATGTTTATAAACAGCTATAACAAAATTAATAAGTAGAAGCTCTGTTTTTTTCAAGTGATTCTGTAGCCCTTATAGGACAGGCACCACCTGTCACAGAGTGGGATCCAGGGATGTAGAAAGGGACCACTGAAAGGTAAAATATAAAAAAGTTAAAACTTACTCTGTCAGAGTCTATATGGGTATGGAGAATTGCAAAGGGTGGCAAGCAATAGCCAGACCAGGAAGAGACAGCCAAATGATATAAGTAGTGCACAACAAAAGTGTGAGGTGTGATCTTTACATGCTAGCCTGCAATACCTCCTCTAAAGGACAATGGAAGAAGGTAGTCAGAGAAAAGGTGAGATGACATATCTGGTGTAAGGAAACTTGAAAGATACGATGAAAATACTCAGACAATAACACGTAAGCCAGACAAATAAGCTGACAAAGTCACTTGGTAAGGGTTACAGAAGCCAGGTACTAGAGAAGTTGCATGGAATGAAAGGGTCAATAATGGAGCCACGAAAAGAAGTCATAATAGTGAAAAGTTCGCACAGGACAAAGAAGACACTCGTATCAGAATGAGAATATAGATGAGAAACAGACAGCAGGGAAATAGTTGTGGATGTGCTGTCCCTTTTACGCACCACCAACATCTTCAAAAAAGAAAACTGCTATCAGAATAAAGAAGGACATACGAATGATGATAAAGAATGCAGAAAACATCAACAGCAATGACAATGGCCTACAATGTCCACAAGCAAAGAGGATTAAAAAATAAGTCTTGAGGGAGAGATGGTACAAACAGCAAGAGGTCAAAGACTCAAAAGGAGGAAGGGTAAGGGCATGAAGGACAACACTGAGGTTCCAATCTGGATGAGCAACCGGTTGGAGAGGACAAAGCAGGCAAAAAGAATGAAATAGGAGAGAAATAGCAGGAGAGGAAAATACAAGGCAGAAATGGAAAAAATGAAAAATATTGGATAATTCCACCTTATATCCAGAAATGGTAGAAACAGATAGACTACTGTGGAAGAGCCAAGTAAAAAAATTGGAAAGGTGGGGAACAGTTTGTTAAGAAGTTGAGAAGCCATGACGCAAAGACTAGTGATGGAAAATTTGCAATTTATGCTGGTAAACCAAAAAAGAAGAATAGCAGACAGAACAAGAAAGAAAGAAGGCTACTTGTGTAGAAAATCCTGAACATCTTCAAGGTACCAGACAAAACCAATGCATGAAAACAGAGTGTGGCTATGGTGGGATGAAAGATGAAGGAATGAAGTTGTTGAAAAGAAATCGGGAAAGATGTATAGGAGGAGATGACTGAAAGAGGTTCAAGAATGGAACAGAGAGATGAAAAGCACTTGACACGGAGTAGTTTTAATAACAGAGATAGAACAAGGGGAAGATGGATGGGAGGAAAAGCATACAAGTAGAGATTAGACCAATCCTGACTGAATAAAGCCAAAGGATGCAGAACCAGAAACCAGAAGAGGGCAAGTTTGGTATTAAGCTAGGTGGCAAAGGCATCCTGAAGGGGGGGTATCCAGCTAAGAGCATAACCACTGGAACACTGGAGGAGCAAGAGACCACTCTATTGATAGAATCTTGTTGAGACGAGAGAGCAAATCTGCCACAAAATTCAGAACACCTGGAATGTGAAAAGCAAGAAGATGGACTTTCTTAGGTTGGGCCCAAAAAGGAGACCCAGTGTCTAAAAACAAAGCAAATGAGACCAGTTGCCATCTTGATGATTGATGTAAGAGACAATTGAGGAATTGTCGGAATGAACCATGACTATGTGTCCATGTACTACCAAGAGGAAATAATTCAACACCATAAAAACAGCCATGAGTTCCAACAGGTTGATGTATTTGGTAGATTCAACCTCTGACCAATGACCAGGTATCTCCTGAGAAATCAAATATGCCTCCCACCCCATAAGAGAGACATCTGTAAAGATATGAAGATCTGGACAGAGAGTAGAAGAGGAAGGCCAGCCATGGTGTTGTCTTTGTTAAACCATCAGACTTGACTTGCAGGCTGGAAGGAAGAAAAATAGAGAGGTCCAAGAGACCCTGAACAAAGTTCCATTGATCATGTAACACCCATTTAGGCAAAATATGCACCCCAAGGGAGAAGTAATTCCATAAAGGCCCAGATCCCCAAAAAAGAGAAAACCTTACACACAAGAAGAGAAAATAAATTTTTGGCTTGGCCCTGCTGAGATTAGTGTTGAAAAACACCCCCAGATGAATAAGATACTGGGTGGGGTGAGATATGATTTCTCCAGTTTGATAAGCCACCAAAACAAGCTGCCTCCTGAAGAAAGAAATAGGAATGGTTGTGAGTGGGAAGGAGCCAAAAAGTGACAACTGTCTATGTAATGGTAAAATCACAGTACCATGTCATGAATATGATGGGCAAAGGCTCTGACTACATGACAGAAGACATAAGGAGCCAGTGGAAGACTGAATGGGAGAGCTCAGAACTGAAAGACCTATCCTGCATGAACAAACTGAGGGTAGTGACAGGATGCAGGAGAAATAGAAATATGAAGGTAATCATCTGAAACATTGACCTTGCTCATCCAAAAACCTGGAGTGAATGACCATCTGAGGGTGAGAAAAGACTCTATGGTGAAACATGGGAGGTCAATGAAGCAATTGAGGTTCAAGAGTTTGAAAAACCTGACATCAATCCTGAGAGAAGGATGAAACACTTGTTCTAAAGAATCCTTCCTCGTGAAATCTCGAACTGTCTCAGAGAGCTGTTGGCAATAAAGTGGATACCAAAGAGGAGGGAAATAAATGGAAACTGGAGATAATGCAGGAGAAGTGGAAAAACAAAGAAACAGTCCTTCTGCTAACATCTAAAAACTCAAGAATCTGCAGTGAAAGGATGACCCAGATGAGCAAACCTGGCTAACTGCACCGCTAAAGTGCTGGAACCAAAGAAGTAGCCACCAATGATATTGTGTCTGAAAAAAGCAATGATGGACAATCTGATGACTTGTAGCTGAAACACAGGAAGGTAGAACTGCTAAAGGTGAGCATGCTGGAGAATGAGACATGGGAATAGTAACAGGAGAGGGCTGGGAAAGACAAGAAACAAGGGAGGAGATAGAGGAATGTTGGTGTGCAACCTCCACCCAATACTCTAAAGTATCAGGGACATTCCCCAAAACAGACTGGCACAAGAAAGGAGCCTGGCAAAGGTCACACAGAAACAAAGCAAGCAGACGCATGTATGACAAAATGGCATCCCAACAACAATGTAGCAATGTATGTATGTATAAAGAAGGGCATGCATATCCACCAAAAAACCCTCAGAAGAGTGGTGGATGTCTTCAGAAAGGAGGTGAATAAATGACAGATAACAAAGGATTCTTGTGACGTTAAAGTTGTCAAAAAGGTAAACTGAACACGTCAATGCCAAAATGAGAAGTAATGAGAGTGCTCTACAGTATACAGGGAGTCAACTGCACTAGGAAGGTGTGTTGCACTTCTATTGGTGGAGGGTTGTTGCAAGCTACAGCACAACTATACCACGTGTAAACACGTAAGGGTAGTTTGGAGCATCAAGGCTAGTGGCGATTGAAACTATGCATATAGAGGGCAGCACCAACTGATATTATGTGAGAGAAGGTAAGGTATCGAATCAGAATTATGTAAGCTGGTCCATGATTTTGTTGGTTCCAGAGTCACACAGTAAGAATTAAACAAAAATATCATCAATACTGCAGTTAACCCAACAATTTACTGCTATGTATTTTACATAGAAAATTATTGATTTATATCTAACTTTTTGTTCTTTGCTTTACACTGAGTTTTTTAACATAAAATTACTCAACACCATGCATATGGATGCCACCAGTAGTGAAAAGTATAAAAAAAGTAGATAAGTTGAAGTATTACACTTTTAAACAATTTTGGCTAGTAATTATAAGTTTAATCTTTTTATGGTAAAAATCTTTAAATACTAAATTATACAGGCTAAAAAATACTGAGTAGGCACATTTTTATTTCTATATGTGTGGTTGGTTTGTTTGTTGTATTCCACACAAAACTACTTGAGTGCTATCTGCACTAGCTGTTCCTAATTTTGAAGTGATAGACTAGAGAGAAGGCAACTAGTCAACACCACCCACCACCAGCTCTTGGCCTACTCTTTATCAATGAATATTGGGATTTACCATCACACTATAATGTCTTCACAGCTGAAAGGGCGAGTATATTCGGGACTCGTGGATTGTGATTCGAGTGTATGTGTGTGTGTGGTAATAAGACAAAATCACTTGAAACAAAAAGTTTAAAACTTTCAGGAAGCCTTAGATTCCTTACCATGTTTGCATTTATGCAGACATTTAGATAAGCTTTCAAGCTAAGGTTCAGCTGGGTTTCCCTAGCTAATTTTTCTTGTTTTATTTTAGCAGCATGTTCTTTCTGTTTTTTAGCAGAATTAACAAAGGTTTTCTTCTTCTTCTTTTTTACTGGCTCTTCTTTAACCTGATGATCCTCAGACAATTCCACATCAGCCTCTTCCAAAAGTGCTTCTTTTAAAACATCTGGCTCGAGACTGTGAAAATTAATATGAGGCTCCAGTCCCGCAATCTTCTCGAGAGACTCGTGATATGATGAAAGGTGTTCCCAAACTTCATTCTCCACATTAGTCCCTTCTTTCTCACTTGAACTTAACTGATACTTCTTTTTGTGTACACAGTTCTTGTTATCAAAGTTATCTTTTTCAAAAGTTTTTATTTCACTAAAAACATTCTGGTATGATTCATTAGGTAGTTTTACTATGTTAGCTGAATGTTTCTTTTCCATCATATTTTCACCATTATCAAACAGCTGTCTCCTCAACATTTCAGGAAGTGGCCCAGAATGAATTTTATGTCTACTAATTGTCTGTTTGTGGCGAAATGAAATATCACTTGCACAGATATTGTCTCTGTCACTGTATTTCTTAGTTACCTCACTTTCACAGGCACTGACACTAGAAGAATTTTTTTTCTGGTACGGCCAAAGTCTTGCTATACTTACAGGTGCTATGACAACACTACATATTTTTGAGGTAGCAGGAATAGCTAATACAGGTGAGAAGTCTTGAAGGTTTCCTTTATGAATATCTAAAACTTGAAATAGATAAAAAAAGTATCGGTAAAACATATAAACAATTTACAAAAAAGCAGTAAGATCAATTATTTTCTTCATAATGTCAAATATTCAACTGATATATATATAGCTTAAGATGAAAAAATGGAATTTTTGTGGTGACAATAATTACACATGTATTTACAATGTACTAAAATTTGAATTATAATCTACAGGTTGTTACCAAACTCATTGACATAAATTCATGAAATAGTAGTTGAATAAAATTTTGAATGCGAGTCAACAAACGAGATGACATGGCCTTTCACCTGTGATGCATCTGGAAAGGGTAAACAACATTTATGGTAGCAAACTTAATAATGTCTCACAAGGTTCAGCCAGACTGGGAGATATAGATTAATCATAAATCCATATATATCTTACACTCCTAATCGAAAACAAACTTTATAATAAAATTATAATAATTACAATTAAAGATAATAAAATTTTATAGACTAAACATTCTAACCAATACTGTTAACTAAACTGTAACATACATGTGATCTTGTCACTAAATTCTACAGTTCTACATACTGTAAATCTTTATGAAAAGTACATATATCTCAATATTTCATAAATAACAACATTACCTATTAACACACAACTTCTTCTCAACTATAACAGTACTTAAAGTCATTAAGAAAGTTCCAGTAAAACCTTCAACTACAAATAAGCTTGTCCATTAACACCATACTTTTAGTCAAAATAAATCTTTTGAAAGTCACAGTAATAGCATCTACATTAAATTAGTGATTAGCTGTGGTATAACAGGAGTGGACGGTTTACCATGATGTTACATCTGTTGACTAAGGTTATGGGAATATGGAGTTGTGGTATAACAGGAGTGGATAGTTTATCATATGTTACATCTGTTGATTGAAGTTATGGTGATATGGAGTTCTGTTATAACAGGAGTAGATAGTTTATCATATGTTACATCTGTTGATTGAAGTTATGGTGATATGGAGTTGTGGTAGTTTAACCATGATGTTACATTTGTTGACTAACGTTATGGTGATATGGAGTTGTGGTATAATTAGTCAACAGATGTAACATCATGGTAAACTATCCACTCCTGACAACTCCATATCACCATAACGGTATAACAGGAGTGGATAGTTTACCATGATGTTACATCTGTTGACTAACGTTATGGTGATATGGAGTTGTGGTATAACAGGAGTGGATAGTTTACCATGATGTTACATCTGTTGACTAATATTATGATGATATGGAGTTGTGGTATAACATGTGGATAGTTTACTATGATGTTACATCTGTTGACTAAAGTTATGATGATATGAAGTTGTGTTGGTGATCTACAAAGTGTACATTCAGAGAAAAGAAGTACATATCAAACTAATTTGACCACTCTAACACTGATATTTCTTGTAATTTACTTTAATTATTATCAGAGAGATTTTTTTAACTTTAAAATGCAAAGAAAAACTATTGAGAGAAAACTTTATTTAAACAATGATAAAAAATCACAAGAACATGTACAACTAATAAAATTATTGATTACAAAAGTAAAGGGGAAGTAATTTTATATTCTTCTGTAATACTGTCTCATAATATGATTGTTTATTTGTTATAAGTTACCTTTAAAAAGATCCTCATACGCCTTGAATTTCTGTTTCTTTTTCGTTTTCTTTGATGATTGGAATATAACCTTGGGTTTAACATTTGTTGAACACAATCTAAAACTCTCCATAAATAAAAACAACTTTGGCTCACCTGAAAAATATGGTTTTAAAAACAAGTTAACTGTGGGTTTCTTCAGATTCCTCTTAATTTATCCATTACGGCACAAAATCAGTGTTGTGTAAAAATAGCATTCCAATCTATCTTTTGCCTCCCACAAGTCACTGCCCAATAAGCTTATAATTCAATTCTAGAACTCATCAGAAGAATTGAATGAAGAAAGACAAAAGATTCATGATGTTAGAAAAACACAAAAGTTCACGAAATCAATTTAAAATAAAATATGATACTCAATAGCTCAAGTGGTTTTTAAAGGTAAACCTTTCTTCTTCAAAAGTAAACTGTTTGTCCCTGAAAAAGAAAGATCCACCTTTTGAAAGCACTTGGGTTTAGGGAATCTTATTTTTTAGAGACAATAGATTTTTTGAAGCACTATTAATATATGCAGTAAAATACTATAAAAGTTACAAAAAAATGGCACTTAATTTGTTTTCATAACAATTTTTAGACCTTTTAGTTTTCCAAGATTTTACCAGTTTCCAGCATGTAAACCTAAACAAATAACATAAACAAACCAAGACACTTAATAAATTGAAGTAGGCTTCTTCATATAGAGTTACAACACATTTCTGGAATTCAAATGCTATGGAGAAACATTTAAATCATCTTTATGTACAGAAATACACAAAATTACACACAAAGACCATAATAAAACTTATAAGAATGATCAGATAGGTGGAATGAATAAGAAATCATTATACATGTATACTTCCATTGAAGAAAGATCCGTTGAATAAAGTAGATAAGAATTTAAAGGGAATCACAATATTACACGCACTGTTGGAGAAGGATATACCAAGCCTGCGACCTGAGCAAAATATTGAATGACAAATCAGATCGGTGCCAATGTGCCCAAGATCGGCCAATATCAGGATCGGATTTTAACAATCTGAATTTGTGTGTTCCGCATGTCTGGACATCCCTAATGTATATATACTATTGGTTGACTAAAGATATGGAGTTGTGGTATAGCAGGAGTGGATAGTTTATCATGATGTTACATCTGTTGACTAAAACTATGGTGATATGGAGTTGTGGTATAGCAGGAGTGGATAGTTTACCATGATGTTACATCTGTTGACTAAAGATATGGTTGTTATACCACAACTCCATATCGTGAATAGTTTACCATGATGTTATATCTGTTGACTAAAGATATGGTGATATGGAGTTGTGGTATAACAGGAGTGGATAGTTTACCATGATGTTACATCTGTTGACTAAAGTTATGGTGATATGGAGTTGTGGTATAACAAGTGGATAGTTTACCATGATGCTACATCTGTTGACTAAAGTTATGGTGATATGGAGTTGTGGTATAACAGGAGTGGATAGTTTACCATGATGTTACATCTGTTGATTGAAGTTATGGTGATATGGAGTTGTGGTATAACAGGAGTAGATAGTTTACCATGATGCTACATTGTTGACTAAAGTTATGGTGATATGGAGTTGTGGTATAACAGGAGTAGATAGTTTACCATGATGTTACATCTGTTGACTAAAGTTATGGTGATATGGAGTTGTGGTATAACAGGAGTGGATAGTTTACCATGATGTTACATCTGTTGATTGAAGTTATGGTGATATGGAGTTGTGGTATAACGAGTGGATAGTTTACCATGATGTTACATCTGTTGACTAAAGTTATGGTGATATGGAGTTGTGGTATAACAGGAGTGGAAAGTTTACCACGATGTTACATTGGTTGACCCTGAATATCCTATGGGAAAGCCTGAGTTTCACTTGAATTGTGTAGGTATTAATTTCTTGGTGATAAGCAGTAAGATTGAAATTTAAAATTGATAAAGCACCAAGCTCAGATAAGGTTTTCCCTATGGTTTTAAAGGAGATGAAAGATCAGATAAGTAAGCCTTTCTCATTTTTGGTAGGTCAGTAGATAGTAGGTAGATGGCTGAGGAATGAAGAATTGCAAATGTTACGCCTATTTCATTCCCTGGAAATAATAAGCCAGTTAGTATTTTTTCAAAAAAGAGAAAAATTCTAGAGGGTCTGACATACCAAAGAAGCTTTAAAAACCACTAAGTACAGTATGATATCATACATGAAAGTCAACATCAACTACCAAAGGAATATCTTGCCTTACTAATCAGTATCTTTTTGGAGGGTGTTACTTATTTGGATGATGAAAATGGTGTGTTCATGGTGTACTTAGATTTTATAGGTGTGTACATGGTGTACTTGGATTTATAACAGCTTTTGATAAAGTGCTAGACAAAAGGTTAGCTACAAAAATCACAATGGTAAGAGTTTGTAAAAGATTAGTTAATTAGGTTTATTTTACAGTGATTGGAGTTATTATTAATTGATTTTCATCAAACTCAACCCTTGTTGTTAGTGAAGTACCTCAGGAGTCAGTGTTCATGTCTTTGTCTTTTGTTATTTACATTAATGCTACTGACATAGGCATAACTGGTAAAACAGTAAAGTTTGTTGACAATATTAAACTATTGGATATTTATAGCTGAACTGAGGATTTTGAGGTATTACATAATGGCTTGGATCAATTGGTAAATTGGACAAATGATCTTCAACTATAGTAAGTGCAAAGTAAGTGGGTTATCTTCAATTGAGATAATATTTAATAAACACACAGATTGGAATCCACTGTATAATATAACTGAAGACTTGAAATATTGGTGATTAACATACTCAAACTACAGATGGTGTGCTCCATTTTTAAAGCTAACAGAATTTTATAGTATATTCATATAGATTTTGATTAAGTCAAAAAAAGAGGTAATTATCTCTAAACAAATCATTAGTTTGGCCTCACTTAGAATACTGGGCACAGTTTTGTTATATTCCATTTGTCACTGATGATATTCATTTTTATATACATCTAAAACCAACATCTAACACTGAGATTATAATTTATCATATTTTGTGTGTGTGTGTTATTTTAATGCATGTTAGAGTCTTATCACTTGATGATATGGTCAATAAGTATGTATGTTGCCATGAATATAACTCATTCTGCATTCCCTTGTGTTGGAAAATCTACAAATTTCTCCCTCTCATGCTCTTTCTGGTGTAAGGAGAAGTCTTGGTGATCTTGTCATTAAATGAGTAAAGGTAAATTATTTTAAACATTATACATTATTTTCATGTCTTGAATGATTTTATTTTCTCTAACACAAAAATCATACCCAATGTCTTAAACTTGCATTAGTAATATATGATGCCTTTGAACCAAAGCATGTTACACCCTTGTCTTTAGGAGGAAACACATTTGTTCCTTCCCACTGTAAAAGGGCATAAAAGATATTTTTAAGTCTTTTGAATTTAGTGTTTCTACTTATAACACCAGTTTTTAAATGTTTTTTATGAATATTTCTTCTAAAAATGCAATTTAAATACATTTTTCATTGTCACACATCAGTAATCACTGATATAACTTTAGTGGAAAAAAATATCATATACACCTTTTCAAATTGAATTTTAGAAGATACCTTGATAAAAACAATCAAAAATTAGTTTGATGAAATGAAGTATAAAATTAAAAAGGTTTACAACTAAGTTTGTTATACTGTCAAGCTAATTTCTATTGCCAGTATGGCAAAGAAAGAGAAATGATGAATTTTCTTTCCCTGTTAATACAGCTCACAAACCTGGTACCCTTATTCATAATACAGAGGTTTTGTCCTTCATCTGTATTTGCCTAGTATCAATATAAATAAAACTAAAACAGTAAGAGGCACTACAAACTAATTTCATGCTAAATTTTCTCCTATTTATAATTCAGCCTAAGTCATGTATTACATTTATTATTAACACCAAAATGGTTATTTAGTTTTAAGGTAAAACTTAGTTACAATGTGTACAAATATAATTTCATACATTTTATTTTTTCTTAATGTTATACGAGAGATAACACATAGCTTTTTTTTTTACCCACCCACAAAACTATGTGAAATGTACCATTTGCTTTTCATAAGCTAGTCTAACTCTAACTTCTAAGTGATTTCACAGTAAAACTAAAATAATAAAGTAGGTGCTTTCATGCTTATCAATCACTAAGCTACGGAATTAACAAACATTAATTAAATATATTTTTAAAAGACATAAATGGGGAAGAAAAACTTACATTTTCGGCAGGCAAATGCAAACTGCGTCAATCTATATTCAGTAAGTTTCGATATTAATACCAAATACGACATTTCGATAAAAACACATGTAGCTAGATGGTGTTTTCTATACTTTTGCGCCCTCTACTGAAGCATTTAATAAACATTGCAACTTCACTAGAACAATTTTCACGTTACAACTGTGTACAAGTGAAAGCACATTGTAGAAACTTAAGGAAGAAATAAATTAATCTGTTATGATAACATGGAATGGACCTCGACTTATTTTCCCCAAAAAATTCAAAAGAACCTACTCAATCAAAGAAAAAAGTTACAGTAATACCATGCAATTCATACCTTCTTATATTAATATTGTTGCGTCATCGAGATCATGTGATTCTCACGCTCTCTCCTTTCTTGAATTATCCTGTACTTTGGCG